TAAAGATAGATCTTGGGGCAGATCCCTGAGGCTCTGTGTTTTCATCTTCTGCACAACATTCTGAGGGAGTATTATTGCTCATTTTACAGATGAGGAAGCTGCAGTCGTCATGCCAGTAACAGCAGTTTCCCTTCAACCTGGCAGGATGTCACCTGCTCCAGGAAGCCCTTCTGGATTGCCCCATCCCCTCCACTCTATGTGGGGCTCTGTCCTTGCTACAATTTCTATTTCCCACTCTGCTTCCCCCGTAGATCCTTAGCCTCTTGGTGGTGGTGGTGATGGTGGTGTTGGGAGGGTGTCTCGTTCACCCCGGTGCCCCCAGTCTCTAGTCTGACTAGCCCTGAGCTTTCCAACACACCTCACCGGGTCCTGTCTGCCCCTGTCTCCCCCCGGGCCCCAGGAGGACAGCGCAGACCTGAAGTGCCAGCTGCATTTTGCGAAAGAGGAGTCAGCCCTCATGTGCAAGAAGCTCACCAAGCTCGCCAAGGAGAACGACGGCATGAAGGAGGAGCTGCTCAAGTACCGCTCTCTCTACGGGGACCTGGACAGTGCGCTGTCCGCTGAGGAGCTGGCCGACGCCCCCCACTCCCGGGAGACTGAGCTGAAGGTGCACCTGAAGCTGGTGGAGGAGGAGGCCAACCTGCTGAGCCGCCGCATCGTGGAGCTGGAGGTGGAGAACCGGGGGCTGCGGGCCGAGATGGACGACATGAAGGATCCGGGCCCCGGCGGCGGGGGGCCGGAGGCGCGCCTGGCCTTCTCCGCGCTGGGCGCCGGCGAGTGCGGGGAGAGCCTGGCCGAGCTGCGGAGGCACCTGCAGTTCGTGGAGGAGGAGGCGGAGCTGCTGCGGCGCTCCTCGGCCGAGCTGGAGGACCAGAACAAGCTGCTGCTGACCGAGCTGGCCAAGTACCGCGCCGAGCACGAGCTGGACGTGACGCTGTCGGAGGACAGCTGCTCGGTGCTCAGCGAGCCCTCGCAGGAGGAGCTGGCCGCCGCCAAGCTGCAGATCGGGGAGCTCAGTGGCAAGGTCAAGAAGCTGCAGTACGAGAACCGCGTGCTCCTGTCCAACCTCCAGCGCTGCGACCTCGCCTCCTGCCAGAGCACGCTGCCCATGCTGGAGACGGACGCCGAGGCCGGGGACTCTGCCCAGTGTGTGCCCGCCCCCCTGGGGGAGGCACACGAGCCCCATGTGGCCCGGCTCTGCAGAGCCAGAGAGGCCGAAGTGCTGCCCGGGCTGAGAGAGCAGGCTGCCCTGGTCAGCAAGGCCATCGACGTCCTGGTGGCGGATGCCAATGGCTTCTCAGCTGGCCTCCGCCTGTGCCTGGACAACGAGTGTGCTGACTTTCGGCTGCATGAGGCCCCGGACAACAGCGAGGGCTCCAGGGACACCAAGCTCATCCACGCCATCGTGGTGCGGCTGAGCATGCTCCAGCAGGAGCTCAACGCCTTCGCGCGGAAAGCAGACACGGTGCTAGGCGGCTCCCTGAAAGAGCAGCCAGAGCCTTTCTCCTCGCTGCCTGCCTTGGGCTCCCAGGGTCCCTCCAAAGAGATACTGCTGGCCAAAGACCTGGGCTCAGACTTCCAGGTAAGTTGTCCTCCCCTGCTACTGGCCCTGCTGCTCTCAGTTAAATAACCTCACTGTCGGGACACGGAAGGGTCCGCGTCACAGTGTGCAGCTTGCTCACGGAGGCATCATCCAGAACAAGAAGTAGAAGGGGACCCCAGGAGTCCCCTTGACAGCCCCTTCTAGTCAGGAACTTTGTTTTTGTTGCCCCCTTTGTTCTGTTTTATTTATCTCTTCATGTCTAGCTTCCTATTTCATGGCTCATACAGCACAAACTTCTTTCACTACCTTTCAGTGGTTGTGACATGTCACAGTAGCTTGTTTATCCACACTGCTGCCCTTGACCCCACAGAAGGACGGTACCCCAGCTCACTCAGGTGCCCTATAAAGAGAGGCCCTGGGGTGGATTCTGAGGCCCTGCCTTTTTTTGCCTAGGTTGCCTTTTCTTCCTTTCTGACCTTTTAAGATTAATTTTGTGTTTTAAAACGAGGTGGTTTGTTGTTTTTTTTAAGTTTTGGTTCAGCTTTATGAAAAGGCAAGAAACTTGGGTTTCTGGAGGCAGTGAACTTCCAGCCTCGATGACTGCCAAACATGACTTAGAAAAATCAAAATGGCAAATCCGAGGGAGCTTCAACAAATGGAGTTCAGGGATCATGGGAACAGGAAGTGCTGAGAAGTGGGAGAATGGGGTTACAGTGTGAGGCTGTAGTCAGTCACTGGCACAGAGCACAATGTGTGTGTGTGATGGAATGGAAAACGGGTCTGCTCTATAAACCTTTACCCAAGTCACAGCAAAAAGTTAAAAAAAAAAAAAAGGATAATGGAATTTTCCACTAAGTTTTTGAAGGCCTCCGACAGAGTACTTAAAAAAACCCCACATTATTACAGAATTAATGTATAAAAACATTCAAAGAATTTCAGTTGTGCCTGAGGCAAACAGAAGAAAGTCTTCTCCGCTTTGCTTCTGTTTCCTAGAGCCCACGGCCTGTGGAGTTAATTCCCATTCTGAGGCAACTTTATAGGATGCTCTTCCAGAGTCAAATGGCCCCGCAGGGTCTCCAAAGCTGTAAATCATTACAGAAGCAGACTGCCACACCCTTCTCTCACAGAGTGGCTGGTGGGTTCAAACGGCTGACCTTTTGTTTAGCAGCCGAGCGCTTTAACTGCTGTGCCACCAGGCTCCCGATTCCCTGGAAGTGCCACTGTTAACAGCCTTAGGGCAGCACAGCAGCTGCTAGCCAGTGTGGCTACTGACGTTCCTAACAATGAAGTGCAGCGGGGAATTGGGCTCCTTGTTGAAGTAGCCACGTTTCCAGCACTCAGTGGCCACGTGATCTGGGAACTTCCGCCTTGGGTAGCACAGATAAAGAGCAGACTATCTATAAAATCAACCAGTAGTAATCAAACAAAAATTTAAGTAGTTAACTTGAATCTCCTTCTTTATCTACATAAACGTTCATGTATTTGTAGTGTCCCCCTCCCCGAATTGTTTTGTGTTAGACCTGCTATTATCACACCACTTGTTCTTCCTATATCAAAGTGTCTGCTCGCTCCTTTACTCATTATGCTGTGCTGACATGGCGCTGGAGGTACCATGGTAGGCAAAACCAGATAGCATTCCTGTCTTCCCAGCCCTTACTGTTGAGTGGAGGAGAGAGACATTATTCAGACTGCCATGCCAGTGAATGCTGGAATTGCAAACTGAGGTACGCAATCTAAACATGGTTGTATGAAGAAAGGAACATGACCTGAACATGACCTACATCCGGGAGGGCCTCCTGATCTAAGCTGAGATCAGAGGGATGGACCAGCAGGGGAGAAGGGTTGTGAGCAGAGGGAACAGCTCATGCAAAGACACCATGCTCAGAGGAAGCAGGCTTCTCAGTTCCTGCCCTGGTGATCGGGCTTGATCCTTTCTAACCCAGCAGATTCTTCTATGCTGGGTCATCCTCTTCCTTCTTCTTGAAGAAGGAGTACGATAGGGCCGGGCCACACACACAACAGGGCAGTGAAAACTGGCCGAGGAAGTTTGTACCCAAGACAGATATTTATGAAATCAGTATCTTCACTCACCGTTTGTACAGGCATTCGAGCATTGGCTAAATGGCTGTAGTGACCCCAACCAGGGTCCCAGCCCTCAAGCGGATGGTCAGAGCCTCTTGTGGAATGTACAGAGGTCTCCTCTGGGGGCACGTTGCTGGCATCCTTTGGACCCCTCCCCCTGGTTACCTTTGGTCTTTTCTGCTTGTGCCTCTGGGTACAGCCACCTGACTTCAGGGACTTGCCGGAATGGGACCCCAGAATCCGAGAGGCCTTCCGCACTGGCGACTTGGACTCCAAGCCCGACCCCAGGAGCTTCAGGCCTTACCGAGCTGAGGACAATGATTCCTACGCCTCTGAGGTGGGTCCAGACGGGAGCAAGCAGGGAGCAGCATAGGAGGCGAGTGGCTGGTGCCTCCCGAAAGCGAGTACGGTTCGGTTCGTCAGTAGAGAATCTTGGCTGTTGGTGATAGGGATTTTGAGTGTTCTGTTTGGTGCCAAAGAGCTCTGGTGGTGGGGTAGTTATGCGTTGGGCTGTGATCCACAAGTCAGCAGTTCAAAACCACCAGCCACTCTTCAGGAAAAAGCTGGGACTTTCTACTTCTGTAAACAGCTACAGTCTCGGAAGCCCAC